AGTTCTAGAGGCTGGGAAGTCCAAGATCAAGGTGCTGGTAGGTTTCATGTCTGGTAAGGGTCTGCTCTCTGCTTTGTAGATGGTGCTTTGTTGCATCCTCACTAGCAGAAGGGGCAAACAGCTCCATAACATCTCTTTTATAGGGACACAAATACTGTTCATGAGGGCTTTGCTCTCATGACTTAATCACCTCCTGAAACCCCCACCTCGAGTTTAAATTAGTTCAACCATTGTGGAAGACAGTGTGGTGATTCCTCAAGGATCTAGAAATAGAAATTCCATTTGACCTAGCAATCCCATTACTGGGTATATATCCAAAGGATTATAAATCATTCTACTATAAGGACACATGCACATGAATGTTCATTGCAACACAGTTTACAATAGCAAAGACCTGCAACCAACCCAAATGCCCATCGATGAAAGACTGGACAGGGAAAATGTGGCACATATGCACCATGGAATATTATGCAGCCATCAAAAATGATGAGTTCGTGTCCTTTGTAGGGATGTGGATGAACCTGGAAACCATCATTCTCAGCAAACTGACACAAGAACAGAAAATCAAACACCACATGTTCTCACTCATAGGTGGGTGTTGAACAATGAGAACACATGGACACAGGGAGGGGAGTATCACACATTGGGGCCTGTTGGGGCGAGTAGGGGAGGAACAGTGGGGGGTGGGGAGTTGGGGAGAGATAGTATGGGGAGAAATGCCAGATACAGGTGAAGGGGAGGAAGGCAGCAAATTACACTGCCATGTGCGCACCTGTGCAACAATCTTGCATGTTCTTCACATGTACCCCAAAACCTAAAAGGCAATTAAAAAGAAGCCCCCACCTCTTGATAATACTATCACATTGGCAATTAAATTTCAACATATTTGTTTTGGGGGGACACATTCAGACCATACCAATTGGGCAGGGAGTTGGGCGTCTTACCTGTTCTCCTGAAGTCTTGCCTTGTTGATCGCTATCTGCGTTATATGTAACCTCTGTCACCTCTAATGACTACACTTGGGCTTGGGGTATAGTAGGTGCTCAATAAATGCTAATAATGAAAAAATAAAATTGGCCCCAGGATCAAGATCCTCCAATAGACAGTAAACCCTTTAATGCAGAGACCACAAATATTAACTCTGTATCTCCAAGTCTAGACTGGGTATTTAGCGGACATGCTTATTTTCTATTCACAAAGTTTGTGATTTATAGTTTGCTGTGTTTGAGAACAATATTTGTAGTCTTGCTGTTAGGTTCAATGGGTATACCAGTTTCTCAAATGAATATCTTGTGAGAACCCCGGTTCATTCTTATATACCCACTCTGCAATCCCTGTAGTCTAGTTTCTCGTCTCACAACTCTGCTGCTCTGTTCTTCCTCCATTGTGCAGTGCTTGGCCTATGGTAGATGCCCTGCACTCAGGCAGAGGAGAATCACACCAGAACATGAGTTTCAGAAGGTGGGGATAATGGAGCAGCCATATTAGAAACCATCTGCTGCAATTGTCAACCCCCCCGCAATTTGAAAATTATGTATATGAAGATTTCAGCAAGATGCCTGATGCTTGGAATGTATTCCATAAAGAGCAGTATGATTATTCCTCTTTTCCAGATGTGAGGGCAATCCTAGGACCTTCTATACCAGCTCTCTTGGTATTAAGCACATTTACGGTGTTGTGCAACCATGATTATCCATTTCCAGGAATGTTTTGTCATAGCAAACAGAAACTGTACTCGTCAAACAATCGTTACCATTCCACTCTCCCCGACCTGTCAACCTTTATTCTTTCTGTCTCTATGAATTTGCCTATTTTAGACAGCTCACATAAGTAGAATTATACAATATTTGTCATTTTGTATCTTATTTTCTTCACTAAGCACAGTGCCTGGAGAGTTCATTCATGTTGTAACGTGTGTCAGAATTCCACTCCATTTTTGTGTATACATCACCTTTTGTTTATTCATTTATCTGTCAGTGGTTACTTCTACCTTTTAGCTATTGTGAATAATGCTGCTATGAACATTGGTGTACACATATCTTTCAAGTACCTGTTTTCAATTCTTTCGGGTTTTACCTTGCAGTAGAATTGCTGGATTATATGATAATTGTATGTTTAACTTTTTGAGGAACCACCACCCAACTGTTTTCCACAGCAGATGTACCATTTCATATTTCCACCGGCATTGCACGGGATTCCAGTTACTCCACATCCTTGCCATTACCCTTGTTATTTTCCGTGTTTTATTATTTTATTTTATATATACAGATGTATGTATATATATTTCTAATCCCTATCCTAATAGGTATGCAGTGGCATCTCATTGTGATTTTAATTTGGATTTCCCTATTGATTACTCATGAGCATCTTTTTGTGTGCATATTGGACATTTGTATATCTTCTTGAGGATCTGTTCTTAAAGCTACCAGTGCCGTCCTTCCAATCAGATTCAATGGTGGTCTCTTAGCTGTAAGTACTTCTGTACTTTCTTTCTCACTATCTATTTTTAAATGTCTTAGAGCTCTAAAATTCTTGTCAAATGCCTTCAGCTACCCCTCATATATCGGTCCTGGGATAGCTGGCTGTTACTTCAAGTTCAACATGTGTAATGCTTAAATTGTTATCTTGGTCTCATTGCTGTCTCCTAATTTCTGTCACGGTCTCAGTTTTTACCGTTAGTTTAGCTTTGTCTTTGTCTTTGTTTTCTCTATCTTCATTCTCTGTATTCAACTACTCACCAGTTCTGCTTTAGTCTTCCTACACAGTTTTTAACTTTATCCCGAAAAGATGCAAACTGAGCTTCTAATGAATAGAATGATATTCTATTTAATGATAAGGTCCTTTGCGAATAGATTGAATAAACTGTTTATATCTAAATGAGAAATGCTATTGTGTTCTCTACTACAATGCCTTGCACACAAAGGGATTAAATAAGTATTTGTTGAATGATTTGATTTTACTTTGAATACTGAGTGTTAGCATACAAGTCTGTAGTAGTTTATTGTTTAATTTCATCCTAACATAGGCTTAGGAGGAAAAAACAGCATGAATTTCAGAAAACACACAAGAAGGTGCAATTAACTTTTTCTAACATGTGCCACATACAGGTGTCTTAAAAATTTGTTAAAATTTGTGCTTTCTTTTCAAACATTTTCTTTAAAGGGTTTAAAAAATTTAAAATGTGTCTAGCAGTGCTTACATTTGATATCAAATGTAAGTGACTAATAATTTCATGTTCTCTGAATTCTTGATTTGTTTCCTGTGTCAGAGATTGGAGACTATTAATAGGCGATTAGGGAGGATATCCTTGAAGTCTCCTTCACACCAAGTATCTCCCTTCTTTTTGGTTCACTTAACTTAATGTGGGAGTTGCTTGTGATATTTTCTACATTTCACCTTCTGAGGTTATAGGCCCCATTCATATGCCATATCTCCCTCTCAGATGAGTAAGTATGACTTTTATGAATTTTCTTCACTTGTAGAATTTAATTTACATGAATAATTAGGAAAGGACCAAGTGAAATTTCTCTCTCCCTAGGCAAACAATCTTGTTAATAAAATCAACTGCAAACTTTTCCTTTTTTTTGTATCTTTAAATTTATTGCTTGCTAAAAATAAGCAAAATAAAAAGAAATATGGGGTGCTATAGCATACTGCTATTTGCATATTGATATCTGAATAATTACCTTAGGGCATATTGAGTTATAATATGAAATACTATTCCCTCAAGACATTATCTTAAAATATTTTACTTATTTAGCATACAGTTCAATATTTTAGAATTATGTGGAGAGTATAGTTGTTAACTGGCATGGAATGTGCTGGCAGAAACAAAAAATCAGAGGGAGCTAATAGAGAAAAGGAATTGTTCTTGGAATGTTACAGCATTTAAATACTGTTGCAATATAGTTGGTCAGTTACAATAGCCGACATTGTAAAAGAGAAGAAGGTTGTAATTCTGTATAGGTGGCTAATATGTGCATATTTTCCTTTAAAGTGTATTTTCCACGGAGTTTGTTTGATATTCAGACCTGTAATCACGTATTTTACAGCTCCCTGTGCACACAGCCAGCAATGGGTATTCTTTTACGACGCAAAGGGTGGAACTAGATACCAAAACAATAGTGCCTGAAAATGAAGAACGATAGATTCTGGAGGAAAATGCTCATAAGGTAACCCAATAGTCAGCTTAGGAGTTGAACACCGCAAAACATGATGTGGAAGGCAGGTTGGTCTGGTATTACGTACTCTGGTGCCTACCTCTTAGCCGCTATGATGAGTCTCCTGAGATACATGTTCTCTATCAGCCTAGACCAGAAGGAAAGCCCACCAATGACAGAAACGCTGTGGCCAAGCTGGACATAGCAAGGCGTCAGTGTAACTTTGAGTTTTGTGATTCCACTGACTGTGTGACTATGACCAAGTATTTCCTTACCTGTAAAAATAACTCTGTGAATTAAATGAAATCATGTGGGAGAAGTACATGTTTTGTTTCCTGATATTATTATTATTGTTGCTATAATGAGACCAGATCTTTATATTCGTAGAAAAAAATTTACTACTGGTATACTGTTCATTGCCACTGTTAAAACCTGAAACTGAGGCTGAGATAGGAAGATTTACTGAGACCAGGAGTTCAAGGCCAGCCTGGGCAACAAGGAAGACCCTGTCTCCATTAAAAAAAAAATTAGCTGAGCATGGTGGTGCATGCCTGTAGTCCCAGCTACTTGGGAGGCTGAGGTGGGAGGATTGCTTGAACCTGGGAATTTGAGGTTACACTGAGCCATGATGGTGCCAGTGCACTCCAGTCTGGGCAACAGAGCCAGACCCTGTCTCAAAAAAAGAAAAGACTCAAGAAAACAAACCAAACCCAAACAAAACACCAGCACTGGTTCCAGAAGAAAAGGGAAAATGAAAGCAAACCTTTATTTTATATGTGAAGTCATGAAGTGTGTTTGGTTTTCTTTTCTTTTTTCTCTCTTTTTTTTTTTTTTCCAAGCAATTGTCTGAAATTTCTATAAACTTTCTCCAGATGGAGCAGGACAAGCCCTCAAACTATTTCAACACTGTTCTGGCAAACAGTGTAGGAACGCACAGGTCACCACAGATGCCAGCACGCTGGAGGCTTGCCAGTATTTGCTTTTAAAACTGTTTTTGATATGCCTTCTTTTAGAAAATTAAAGATCATGCATATTTGTTTATAAAACAGTTTTCATCATAAGGCCATTTTTGTGACCAAGAATGTATCGTATTCACCTCATTTATCATAAAATTGGTCAGTTTCTATGTATTAAAACACTGAAGTTGGTATTTCTCACTCTCTGCTGTTTGAAGGGGAACAGGATTATTACCCCAATTTTTCAGATGAAGAAACCTATATGCAGATTAAACAATGTGATTGATGTTTTATCCCAGGTCAATGGCAAAGCAAAAATGGGGTTGAGCTTCTTTCTCTCCTGGTCTCATAGTCTTTATCACATTTCATGTTGCTGCTATAAAAAAGAAACTTAGGCTGTTTGTAAGCATGAGGAACTAAGTGATGGGTCTTTAGCATAGCTTGTGCCAACTGACCAAAAACTGAATTGACTTCTACGACATTATCAAATTATTCTTACAAAATGGGTATATTGGACTTTCTCATCTATGACTGCTATTGCCAGTGCCTTCTCAATTGCAACAGCAAGATGGCAAAAGGAAATGTAAGTTGTCATGTATTAAAAATCAATTGAAATGACATTTCAACCTTCAGTTGCAGCAAATTCTTTGAGAGAAGGAAACAAAATCCTCATGATAGCGATGATAGCGATGTCTGTTGCTGCTTTTCTAATTAATTAAATGCATGATTTTTAGGTCCTGCCTAGTGTATATATTTTATTTTGCTATCTGGATGTCACCTTTCTCTGACCTTTCCTCTCTTTTCTTTATCTCATTTCTTATGCACCTGCTTCATCTTTGGCTTAGCTCCTTTGCCACAGAGGAAATGTGCTCTAAATTAATTTTCACTTAGGTTACTTAAAGATTTTCATATTAATTGAAGACCAAGTAATGCTAGACCCAAAGAAATAAATCCCTAATAGTTAATTTCAAGCACCATGCTACTTGAACGGGAAAAATAGTTTGCTGCTGGCATGGTCTTTAGGTACACCTCAGATCATACCCACTCTCTTTCTCTTTAAGGCTGTCTCTGCTTTTACCTGTTTCCTGGGTAGATGTCTTTGACTGTGATTCTGCAGGGATGCTTACTTGGCACAGGTTCACAATCTAACGAGGAGTGAGAACTTGTGGTTAACTACTATTTTAGAAGAATAACTACAGTGCAAAGTCAGCAGAGTAGGAGACTAATGAAATAGGCCTGTGTGTAGATGGAGAAGGCTTGGCAGATATAAAATAACTTAAAGGCTATGCTGTCGGAGAGTAATATGAAGGCAGACATGAAAATGGGTGGCAAGTTTAGAAGCTGTCCAAAGTCTGGTATGGTAGAGATGTATGGAGATAGATGGTAATGGCCAATTGAGACCGGATTGTGGAGGATTTTAAACACCATGCCAAAGCGTTTGGACTTGAGTCTGTAGACAATGGAGCTCGGCAAGACTCTTCGGTCTGTGTCTCCATAGCTATCTGACCTCCTCACAGGAGCTCTGTGGTACCCCAGAATGGCAGGAAAAGTATATTTGGAATCAGAGTATTTGTGCTCAAAACCTCTTAAAGACTGTATGATCTCGGGCAAGTAATTAAAACATAGAACTGGCGACCTGGTCCTCTTGCTTGAAAAGCTTTGACAGTGTTGCATATTGGAGTTCAAGTTGATAGGGTCCGGTTAAATAGATTGTGACAATGCACGCCAGAACCAGGGCTTGGAACTAATCCCTTTCATGAGGGTAGGTGATGTGCTTAGACTTTGTGTCCCCACCCACATTTCATCTGAATTGTAATCCTCGTAATCCCCATGTGTCAAGGGAGAGACCAGGTGGAGGTAATTGAGTCATAGGGGCGGCTTTCCCCAGGCTGTTCTCATGATAGTGAGTGAGTTTTCACGAGATTGGGTGGTTTAAAAAGGGATTCTTCTCCCTTTGTTTGGCACTTCTCTTACCTGCCACCTTGCGAAGAAGGTGCTTTGCTTTCCCTTCATCTTCTGTTATGATTGTAAGTTTCCTGAGGCCTCCCCAGCCATGCTGAACTGTGAGTCAGTTAAACCACTTTCCTTTATAAATTACCCAGTCCTGGGCAGTGTTTTATAGCAGTATGAAAACAGACTAATACAATGGGGCATAAGTGAAGCCTGGGTGCTTGAGAAAGGCTCGTATGGTGGGCAGATCAGATAATCTAGAAGATATGGCGATAGATAGCAACTCAAATCTCATCTCTGTAAAACAATCCTAAAGTCAATTGTTGGCAGTCATCTCTGGGCTTCCAAAGTTTGTTCCATATGCCTTTATTATAGTAGCTTCGGATTGGTATTAATTATATGCATATTGTATTTTTAAAATGTTCTTTTGGTTTTAAATGACTGAAACCATGGTGGGCTTCTCAAACTAAGTAATAAAAAAATCTACAGAAACCCAGGTATATTTATTCTTGTTAGATTGATTCTTCTTGTTCTGCTGAGAAGCTTCTTGGCTTCCCTGTCCCAAGACACATGACAACTCAAAATTCACAGGAGTTGCAGTTCTAACCACTGACAGTGACTAACTGGCTGTCTCAGAATGTCAGTTTCAGATTCTCCAGAGAAAGCACAGCTTATGGGTCAATCAGATTTCAGATGTCTATCCCAGTCCAGTCCACTTTGTCAAGGAGAATGGAGTCACATAATCCCTATCTGTCTGTACAGGACCAGCCTGTGAATGGGGTACAGTTCTCAGGGCAGGGAAAACCAGTGCCTGGGCTGGACAGATCCTATAAAGGGTTTCCACTACATTGATTTTGTGCTTCTTCAAGGATAGGGACGGTGTTTCATTGATATTTTTGTCACTAGCACTTTGCGTACCATTTTGTACATACCTAATAAGCATTGATACATTTTCGTTGAATAAATAAATCATTCCTGGCTGAGATCAGAATTGCTCATAACAATAATTAATATTTTCAGAGATTTTTATATAAGATATTTTCTCAATCCATTCATTACATCCTCCCAGCGATCTTGTGAGTAACTAGATTTATAATTCATTTTTGAGAGGAGGAACTGAGTTTACAGATCTTGAATGTGGAACACACCAGAGTTGAGCCATATTGAGGTCTGAAGAACCAGTCAGAAGAAGGCTGGACATGAGGGTCTGGTTCAGGGCGGTGCCAGAGTGAATGGAAAGTTGAGGAAAGATTATAGAGACATTAGTGTCTCTAAAGTTAATATCTCTGAAGAAAACAAAACTAAACAAAATCAGACAAAAACACGTTACTGAAAGATAGTTGCAGGCATTTAACTAACTGCCTTATTGTAAACCTTTCTTTTTTTTATTAATGCATAATCCAGATATAGCCAATTTGTCATAAGCAGAAACTAAATCTGAGTGTTGAGTTCAGCTGAATAGCAGACATTCCTAAAATTAGAACTCTTAGGAATTCATGACCAGTTTGTTGTCAAGAGAGGGATTAGTATACATCATCAATGAAAGCAGCATCTATGTACATTTGAAAAATAGTGCCTATATATGAAGACATAATATTTATTTAAAGAGCAATACCATGGGGTGGGCATATGGAATTTTTACTCTCTTCTGAGACCTAAATAGCCTACCAGGGTCTCACAGCCCTGAGACTGAGAATCAATTAAGGATCTCACATACCAGAAATGAACATTGGATTGATTAAGGAAAAACAACCAAACAACAAATTTTAAAATGAAAGAGACAAATGGCAGCTGACTAGTAGTGTGAATGGGTGAGGAGCCAACTGTGGGTCAAACTAAGAATATTAAATTTTTGGCTCAAATTCTTGAGCAGCATCATGGCTATCACTAATTCTGCAAAAGTCACTAATTTAGAATCCTATTCTGAGTTTTCCAGATAACTAGAATTTTAACTGTCCTATTTTTTTTTTTTTTGAGACGGAGTTTCACTTTTGTTACCCAGGCTGGAGTGCAATGGCACGCTCTCGGCTCACCGCAACCTCCGCCTCCTGGGTTCAAGCAATTCTCCTGCCTCAGCCTCCCGAGTAGCTGGGATTACAGGCATGTGCCACCATGCCCAGCTAATTTTTTGTATTTTTAGTAGAGACGGGGTTTCACCATGTTGACCAGGATGGTCTCGATCTCTTGACCTCGTGATCCGCCCACCTCGGCCTCCCAAAGTGCTGGGATTACAGGCTTGAGCCACCGCACCCGGCCTTTTAACTGTCCTGTTTATGTAGATTCACTAAGATTAGGGAAAGGAGCATGGCTCGAATTCCAGTTTGAAATTCTTAATGTGTTGGGCTGAGCATGGTGGCTCATGTCTGTAATCCCAGCACTCTGGGAGACTGAGGTGGGCAGATCACTTGAGGTCAGGATTTTGAGACCAGCCTGGCTAACATGGTGAAAAACCCATCTCTACTAAAAATACAAAAATTAACCGGGCATGGTGGTGGGCACCTGCAGTCTCAGCTACTTGGGAGACTGAGGCAGAAGAATTGCTTGAACCCAGGAGGCAGAAGCTGCAGTGAGCCAAGACTGTACCACTGCACTCTAGCCTGGATGACAGAGTGAGACCCTATCTCAAAAAAACGAAAAAAAAAAAAAAAAAAAAAGAAAAAGAAATTCTTAGTGTGTCCACACACATGGTTGTGTCTATAGGAACAAAAGTGCTAATATGTATTGAGTGCTTCATATATGCCAGTCCCTGGACTAATCACTTACACTTCTTATCTTCTTTAATCTTCACAACAGGACTTTGATACTGATGCTCTTATTACTCCCATTGTAGAACCAGGAAGCCGAGCTGCAAAGAGGTTAAGTGACTTAATCAATGTTACACGGCTATTAACTAGCATGACTGGAATTCAAACCCAAGTTTATTTGACACTGGAAGTCACATGTTAAAATGCCATGTCATATTGGGAGGAGTCCATGTCCCCCACCCCCAAATCTGTACTCATGACTGCTGTTGTGCTATGCTTCATGGAACTCTACTTATGAAGTCTTGTTAGTTGCAGTGTGATT